TGGAAGCAAGAGAAGATAATATAACACAACACCACATTTGATTGCAACAAGCTCATACGTGAAAAGAAAAAGAAAAGTGTTTTCACTCTAAGAAAACTATCGCATTCATATACGTTGAAATATTTCTTAAATGTATTATTCTTTTTAAACTAGTGTATATGCTTATTAAGAAGCATATTGTAAACACAACCTTTTTTTATCTTAACCTTTGTTTAGTTTCCTTGAGAGACTACGTTTAATCAGTATTCTCAAGAAGTCATTGGCAGTTAGTCTTTGAGTTGTATTTTCTTGAGATACTAGATTATAGTCAGAATTCTCAAGAAGACTGAGACAATTTGTCTTTGAGCTAGCTTTTCAATTAGTTTGATTATTGGATTAAGTTCTTATTGAGAAGGTGAAATCATTCAGGAGGGTGGACTAAACGTAGCTTCGTTAACAATGAACCAAGATAAAAATACTTGTGTTATTTATCTTTATCTCATTGTTGTTGTTTGTGCTCTTGGGTTACAAAAAGTTTTAAATCTAGAAACCCAATTGAAACCCCCTTTCTTGTGTTTCTTGAACCTTCAATTAACATCAAAGCCCGATTCTGGTTTTGACTATTTTGTGTCAAACACTTAACCATGTTAGATATAGATCCATTTTTTTAAACATAGTATGCCACGTGCAAACAATGATAAAGATCATTATTATGCAAAATCTCAAATCTTTGATAGAGAAAAGTTCAACTACTATAAAGCTGAAATTGAAAGTTTTTTCATATGTTGTGATGATGATCTGTGGGATATGGTAATAGATGGTCACACACATTCTAGACGCTGATGACACTAATATTGAAAGAAGCAAAATGAATGAACAACAAAAGAGGGACCACAAGAATCATCATAGATCCATAACCGTATTATTGAATGTTATTCCCTACACTGAGTATGAAAAGATAACAGATAGAAACTCTGCTAAGTCAATATTTGATTCTTTGGAAATTATTCATGAAGGAAATGAGCAAGTTAAAGAAACTAAAACCTTAGATCTAGTCCATAAGTATGAATCCTTCAAATGAAAGAGAGTGAAATGATTGAAGAGACGTTTTCAAGATTTCAAATTTTTGTAGCAGGATTAAAAGTTCTGAATAAAGGCTATACCACTTTAGATCATGTAAAGGAAATTATTAGAAGTCTGCCTAAGAAATGGAGATCAATGGTGACAACATTTAAGGTGTCAAAAGATCTGAACAACACGAATTTGGAAGAATTTATAAGTTCTCTAAGGAGTCATAAGATTGAAATTGATGAGGATGAGCCTTAGAAAAAAGTCAAGTTTATGACTCTGAAGTCCAAAGGTAAGCTTGAGAAGGCCAAAGCTCTTCAAGCTAAAGAAGAAAAGTCTTAGGAAAGTAATGAAAAAGAAGATGATTTGTCTCTTCTCTCCAGAAGGGTCAACCAAATCTTTAAAAAAAATACATACGAATTTCAGAGCCTATAGATGAATAGGTGGACAATCTGAGTCAACCTTTAGGCAAAAAAATTTGGATTTGGCAAGGATGTTGCCTGCTTTGAGGGCAAGAATCATGTACATTACAAAAATGAGTATCCAAAATTCATGCCTAAAAAGAAATTCTTCATAGAGAAAAATAAGGTTCTTATGGAAACCTAGGATAACTCAGAAGCTTTAAAAGATGATTCTGAAGAAGAGCATGCTCACATGGAACTGATGACAAACGCAAAAGCATATGAATTTGGATCAGAATCAAATTCAGATCCCAATGAGGTATTCTCTAATCTTACACACTCTGAAGTAGATTATTGTCTCACTGAAATTCTTGAAAATTTTCAGAGCCTTTAGAACAGACACAAGGGTTTGAAACAAATTCATGTAGCTGAATCTGAAGTCATTAGTGAGCTAAAGAAAGAAAACACTATTGTGATAGAAAAGATTTAAAATCTTGAAAAAGAAAACTCTTCCCTTAAAAGCAAGAGTATAATAGATATTGAAAAAGAGATTCTTTCAAAAGCTCCTTTGGACTCTGGACATGTCATTAAGAAATATGACATAACTTTTCATAAATTTCTTGCACGAAATATAAACATAAGCATAATAGATTCTATGATCTATGGACTAAGAAAAAAAATAAAAAAAGAGGTCTTGGTTATGTGTCACCTAAACGCTCTAAGGTTAAACCTAATTCAAAACAGAAAGCAATAAAACCAAAAGCTCTATATTTCCATCTCACTTATGGGCACAAACATGATTATGCTATGCAAAAACTCTGGGTTAAGAAAAATTATGGGAGAGTTAACAAGAAAGAATCCAAAAAGATATGGGTACCTAAAGATAAAATAATCTATGTACCAATCATTGTATCTGGACTCTAGATGCTTATAACACATGACAGGAAGAAGACATATGTTCCAAAGTGTGTAACTTAAGCCTGAAGGCAACATAGATTTTGTAGGCAATCAAAAAGGGTAATATTATTGACTCTGGAACTATTGGTAATGGATCTCTTCATTCATTAATAATGTTTTACTTGTCAAAAGATAAATGCATAACCTCTTGTCCATAAGTCAATTAAGTGACAATGGTTATGATATTATCTTTAATAAAAAAATCATGTAAAACTGTTAGTCAGAATGATGACTATGTACTCTTCAATGGCAAAAGGAAGAACGATATTTATAAGATTAGACTTTTTGATTTAGAAAATCAAAATGTTAAATGCCTCGTGTCTTTCTAAAAATGTTGTTTCAACCTCTAGAACTTTGGAGCTTTACACATTGTTTTATTTGGCCATTAAAAACAATCTCTATCAATGGTAAAAAAAAAATATGGTTTAGTCATTGTTAATGACTACAATAAAAAGGTATGGATTAACTTTCTTTAACATAATTAATTATTATCTTTAAAAAAAAATCAACATCTCAAAGAGAATACCTAATATAAAATGGAGAAAGTACTTTTTAAATATCTTCTAAATAAAAAAGAAAATATTCATATTTTTTAAATAATTTACTACAAAAATTTAAAAATATACATGAAATAAATGTATATTATTAAACAATTGCTGAAAATAAGTGTTTTTCTAACATTTTCCAATAACAATTATTATACATTGATTATAATTTTGTTCACACTTATCTGTTTTTAACTTTTTCTAATAAATCACTATATACATTTGTACTGAATAATTCATACATGACAAACATATTTATCATTAATTAAATTCGTTAAAATTTAATTTTTATATCTTCTAACGAGAAATGATTATAATTATTTATACAAATCATATACAGGACAAATATTTTTTTTTTCATAAACAAATTACTGAAATTTTGTGTTTTAAAAATATTTTTGACAAAACCATCATAATGTTTTTCAAATTTTAATGTTTTATGTTTTTTTAAAAGAAATAAGTCATTAAAAAGTAAAGTTGTGTACAATCGATACATGATATTTTATTTATTATTAATAAGTTAAAAAAAATATATTTGTTGTAAAATTACGATATGTAGAATATTTTATTTATAATTTAAAATAAAAATTTTATTAAATAAGAATTTTAAAGTTTTACTTTTATGTAACTTTAATATAAAAGAACTAATAATTATCAATGTGTTAAATTTAACTTTTCTTTATATATTCTAAATGAAAATGAATAATATTCATAAACTTATTTAATTGTTCATAAATTAATTTTTACCAACAAAGTGTAATTTATTAATTAAATAATATAACTTATTTTATTATATATTAAAATATGACTTGTATTTACCTATTTAAAATTTTGAATTTGAACTCGTGCGAAAGTACATGTATTATATTAGTACTAGTTGATAAGATAAAGAGACAATTATTTGACAAATATAAAGCAATTATTTTGACAAATACAAAAAATGTAGATGATACACTTTTATCATATAGGAATAGTAATAAAGTTATTTTATTAAATGACATTTATTTTATAACTAAAATCAATAAAATTAATCATTATTTTAGAAAATACAATAATATCAAAGAGAACATCTAATTTGATACAGAAGTAGGATGACAAGGAGCGGGTCGGGAGCGGGTTATTTGACTATATCCGCATCCGCACCCACCTCCATTTAACACATCCACTCCCACCTCCAAACTTAATTTGAGGTAAAAATTTATCGCCCAGACCCGTTACCAGGAGAGAACGGGTGCCCCGACACCCGCCCCGCCCCCACCAGCAAAAAAAATTAATTTCTTTTTAATTACAATAAAAATTAATAATTTCATTAAAAAATTTATTATATTAATAAATTAATTATTTATTTAATTAGTAAATGAATATTAACTTGATTAATTTAATTATTTTAATTGTAATAAAAGTATTAATAATTTAATTAAAAAAATAATTAATAAATAAATATTAAAATAATTAAAATAAGAGAATTAAACTAAAATGCATCATTCGAGACCGGGTGCGGGCGGGTCTTAGTGTCTCCCCGCACCCGTACCCGAACCCGTAATTAAAAATCGGATTTTCCCCGCATCTGTACCCACTCAAACTGGGTTTTCCCCACTAATTTCGGGGCAGGTTCAGGCGGGCCCTAAAAAATGTGGGTCTTTTTGCCATGCCCATCCAGAAAGAATATAAAAATACATACAAACAGTAGTGTATAGCATTTCTTCCAATCAAATTTACATTGAGATCGCTATTTTATTTTTCAATATCATTATTTTTCCACAACAAATACTTAAAAGATTTATGATAAAAGAAATTTCAATCATTTGACTAGAGTCAACCAAACGCGTTTTGATTTAAATTATTTTTAAGATTACATATTAAAAATTAAACTAATTTTTTAATTAAACTAATTATTTTATAATTTTTATTATTATTGAGAGAATGTATTATGAGGCGGATCCTAACAAAAAAAAAAATCCGTCCAAGTAAAAAAAACTGAATTTTTGCGTACTCGTGCATTCGTTCATATGTGAGCTTTTACTCTTTCCTTCTAACCTAACTACTGTCGATGGATAATCTCTCGCTTGGCGTCATTCAGCCGCCCCCGGAAAGCTGCGACGAAAGAGAGAAGCCGCTGAACTTAAAACCAGAATCAGAAGATGAATCAGAAACGGAATCAGAAGAGGAAACAGACGATGATGAATCAATATCGGAGAAAGCAAAAGAGGAATTAGAGTTCTACTTGAATTGGGAATCAAAGCCAATTGAATATCTGCAGGAAAAGTTCGACGATGATCCTTTTTTCTGTGTTTTTTCATGTAAGAACTATTGTTATAAGAATAAAGCGATGATAAAAAAAGAAGAGGATAGTAAAAAGGCAGTGACTGAGTATTTGGATAAATCTCCTAACCTAAGTCCCTTTAATGCTATCCCTATTCCATGTTTGGCAAATGTATGTGACAATAACTTTCCAAGACCAATTTCCCTTAGGGAATATAATCGACCGCATTTCATTCAACTCTGCAAACTTGCTTTGGATTACTATAATCATCACAATCAGGTTCTAAATCTAAACTCTACGAGCTTATTTCTTTCACCAACCTTATCTAATTTTTGTTCTTTCTTAATTATTAGGGTTTGAATTATATGTTTGAAGACATTGTGAAGGTAACCGGGCGGCGTATTCCTTTTGCTACTCGTTACATTACCTTTATAGCAAAACTTAACGATTGGATCCAGCAGCCTGCTATAACTTTTCAAGCCGAAGTATGGGACAAAATGACTTCACTCGGACCACCAATTGTCAAGTCATGTTCCATTAAAGACTACTAATATTCACACCATGGTAATAATGATTAATATTTTATACTTTCATAATTGTGTTTGTTTAGAGCAGGTTCTAGTTTTGTGATCAATTATTACTGTTATTGCTAAATTATATATGCTAATTTATGGTTCTAAAAGTTTGAAACACAACAGCAACTTTGAGATCAATTCTCATCCATTACTCTATTAAGTAGTTATATCTGATCAGTTTAATCACTTGTTTATTCAGGCTGTCATGGAGTGGGTGTTGGAGTCCAAAAACCTTAAGAATGCATGAAACATGTGTAAACAATCACTTCAGATTTGTAGAATTTTTATTAGATCAGAGAGTGCATGTGAAGTATTGAGATTTGATATAAGAGATTATATATGGTTAACATAAAGTTCGTTTAAGATTTAAATATTCAGATCTAGCATGCAGAGTTTGTATCTCAAATTAGTTCTCGATTCAGTATATTTGTAGTTATTTGTTTTGTATTTTATTTTGTGAGTTCAATATCTATATATTTCATACAATACCTATTTTTCTAGTTTTAAAACAAAAAAACAATTACTGGATTAGTAGATGATCGATGCGTCTCTACTAGATATAAGTCTTTGATTGATTCATTAAATTAAATGTTTGACCTTAGGCTGTTCTAGAAGATTCCTACTAACATCTCCTCATTCAGGTGGATGGCCTTTATGGTCGCCACATTGATTCGTAACAAGATACTCTTTGAAGGTACTTTGGTGGATCAATTTCTTTACTAGGTGATTGAGAGTCGTGACACAAACCTTTAAAAGTAAATCATTGTCCAAAGGACCGCCGCTATAAATGGTTTAGGTTTGATGCTATATTCTAGATTTATTTCCTAACTAGTAAAGAACATTTTCTAGTAAGGACATGGATTTGATTTCCCATGACATTAAAGAAGTAGTCATAAGTAATTTAAATTTATGAAAAATATGGATAACCTACCAAGAATAACAAATTTCATACTTTAATATCTTGTATAATCAGTTTAAAATGATGTTCTCCTTTGTGTTCTTTAACGATCCATATATCTATTACACAAACAACAATTTTTTAAACATTGTTATCCATATTTAAATCACTTGAGAGTGAGTGGTCTTCACATGATGGTGAAGTCAACTCTAATGTTATAAATGACATGGATCAGTAAAGATAGAAAGTTGTATGAAAGCATTTTGGGATTAAAGTGCATAAATGCAATAAAGATGGAAAGATAAATGAAACCGTGAACGAAATGTTGAAGTACATCCACGAAACAACATAGTTACTAAACCCAAAAATCATGCAATGAAGTAAAGAAATGATTGCTATACGAAAAAGAAGAAAATAGTTCAAGTACATGCAGTTAAACATCTGTGTTGGCTTACTAGTTCCTATTCAGTTCAACACGGTAATATCTCTTAGGCCTTCTTTTGTTGTGATCAATTGACTCGAAAACACTGAACCAACCTTTATTACGGTCAAAGATTGTAACCACATGTGTGTTGGCTTTGACAACTTCATCTTTCATGAATATTGTTGAACTATTACTGTACAGCTGACCAGATTGTAATACTGAACCCCACTTCGTACGTCTGCTATCAAAGAGTGCGCCTAACCTAAAATATGTTGCCTTACCAAGGCAGTTATCGGTAGGTTTCAAATTCCCTTGAAAACAGAATTTATTGATTCAATGAGGTCAGTTGTCATGTGGCCCCATCGCACCTCTTTGTTGTATGCCCGTGTCCATTTCTCTTTATCAATGTTATCAATCCATCTTAATGCATCCGTGTTTGTTAGTCTGATCTCATCACGGTAGTGTTTGAATGTGGGCTCTGTTAGTGCATATTATGCGTTCACAACCTTTTTCCTTGGTGTTTTGTCTTTGATTTCCTGCATGAAATTTTAGGCGATATGTCTTATGCAATACACATGGGTCGAGCGAGGATCCTGCCAACCGTTATCAAGGTTATTATATGCACTCTCGATTGATGGGTGTCTATCAGAGATCAAACATAAGTTAGGTTGGAGAGAAACGGAAAAGCGGAGATTTTTTTAAGAAAAAACTCCAACCCCCAGCAGTCTCCCCTTCAACTATAGCGAAAACTATTGGAAAAATGTTGTTGTTCCCGTCCTGTGCCATAGTTGTAACACCCGCTTTCTATACCCCAAATAAACACATAATCATTTAGGCACATATTAAAAATTTTATCAGAGTATAATTATAAACATGGTAAAAAAGAGGTATGTCACATTATACGTGAAATTAAAACATACAACACCTGCTCAACGATTGATATGCAACAGTGAGGTAACTTTGTAACATATGAACTTAGTCCTTACACCCACATCTCAATATTTAGAATAAAAGCGGAAAATTTAAACATTGAATAACATCAAACATATAAACATATATATATATATATATATATATATATATATATATATATATATATATATATATATACATTATCCAGTTTGATTCCACAACATAAAACCTGTTCTCATAAACATTCCACCACAAGATACATATACAAATGTATCACAAAAGAATTCTATACATCCTAGCTACCCGGTGCTACATATCAGAGCCGACCGACCAAAAAATGAAGACACGCTTCACAAAAAGACCTCTAGCCAACCTACTCTGCAATGCCTCATAGAGCACCATAAAACAGCATAAGAGTGAGAAATATTATCATAATAACAATGCATATAATTATATATCTTAACATAAAAATACACAAATTCCACATTCTCACCACAATTCATCACAACTCACTCATATAAATCACAATGTATATATAAATATATATGGATATAACACCAAGCATATTCATCATGCATACATCCACAATTCTCATCATTCCACATAAACACACACATTTATGTTTATTCACCATCACACAATTATAAAGATGATAAATGCAAATCATAGAGACCGACTCACGACTCTATGCAGATGCAAATGCGGTACCGACTCAATCGTCTCAAGTTCACTCAGGAACTTATTGGAACCATCGCTCGTTACCAATGTAACTCCTCGTCGAACATACAATGTTCACCCATTGCTCACACCTCACATGGGCACACGATGTTTATGGATTGCTCACACCCCACACAGGCACACAATCCGATTGCTCACACCCCACATGGGCACACAATAATTTGTAATCATCGCTCACACCCCACATGGGTACACGATGATGTTTACCCGTTGCTCACACCCCACACGGGCACACAATGTTTATGGATTGCTCACACCCCACACGAGCACACAATCCGATTGCTCACACCCTACATGGGCACATAATCATACAACACAAGAATGCACATCATGATGCTTCACATGCAAAATGACCCAAGACATTCTTGAAATGCATACATATTCACAAATATATTTTCATGCATTCATCTCATACCATCACATACAAGGTATGCACATTCATATCAATCTCATCATGCATTTACATTTACTTAAACCATGCATTCATTTTCCAAAAGACCACAATTCACAATCTAGGATTCACGCCATACGGCTACCCACAACATATCATATAACAACACACAAACTACGCGTTTCGAAAGAAGGTCGATCACATCCGAGTCAAAGAATCAACATTGGATGGAAATAACGAAAGAAATAAGTTGTACTGTCATGCTCGCTGGACCACTCGCCTAGCGAAGTCACGACGAATCACTCGTTACTAGCTCGCCTAGCGAACATGCTAGCGAAGGCTGTCTAAATGCTACTAGAAGTGTTTGCTACAGGCTCGCTGATGCCTCGCCGTTTACTATGATTTTTGGTAAACAACCGCTGGTCTATCAACTTCTAAGAAATCGACCATACTAAATCCTAGGACACGTGCAAAAGAGTGTTTTCGACTGCGTGAAATTAAAGCTGGAAAGTGTAGAAACGAAGTTGTAAAAGTAATGCTAAGATTATTGCCAAACTCCGCGTTCGACGCCAACCTTTTGAAAGTTGTAAAAGACTTTAAAATAAAGATGCAAGCAAATAAATGGCTTGAAAAATAACTCTAATCAGAACTCCGTGTTCGACTAGGGGGTCTTGCAAATCAAATGGGTAGAAATTTGTAAAGGGCAGTTTGAAATATAAAAATTGAAAGTTAAAAGAGGTAATTGAATTGTAAAGACAAATCACATTAGTAAAAGGTTTGGTGTTGTATCACGTACATTCTCGTTGCACTCGTTTCTCTACACGCGGATACTCAGAGTTGTATGAACTAGTACGGTAATGAATGAACACCCTTATTACATGAATTTTACATCTATTTATAGTGCTAAAAAGTAACTTCTATATGACGGTTGAGACTCCCCATCATGCATCTTTTGGCGCTTCTTTTGTCTAACCGTTCCCACACTTTTATTTAGCTTGAATTTTGAATACTTGGAACTTCCCTCTAAGTCCTGGAGAATCCTCTTTCGCACTTCCCTTGTTGTAATCCTCGTCGACCGTTTTTCAACGCTTAGCATTTTTTTAGCTTTTTTCTCTCTTTCTTCGACTAAACCCCTTGATGTCGGTCGATGTTTCTTTTTGTCAGCTCCGTATCAGTGCTCTTGACTTCAGATAATACACTCCTCGACTGATGTCAAAAACTAGTGGTTAACAAATTGCCCCCAAAAATTGTCCTTTCGCCAATCTTGGGTTTGGAAGGTCAGTTTTTTCTTTTATTTTTGACGTCACACTTTTGCATGTTTACATTGTAACTTCCCTTTTCTTTAGTGGCGTAACTGTTCAGTTTTTTCCTCCATGCTTATGACAGCCACTACGCCACTATGTCCAATCTGAAACGTCCTTTCAACCGTATTCATCATTGTTTGTCTCGGGAACATATATTTGTGTTCTGACCATCCTTTTTCTACACGCATCTTCTAACACGTGTCCCACTGACTGACCATTTTTAACGGTGGATTTTTCTCCATTGGGATTTACAAATACTTATAAATACCTTATTCCTTGCTTCACAGATCTTTTCGCTCTCTTGAACTT